GGCCAGCCACAGGACGCCTGCGCCTACAGAGGAACCATAGATGGCTTGCGCTGCACCAGGCACAGCTCCAACCACACACCCCATATCCAGTGGTAAACCCGAAGAAGTAAGACCGGGAGGCATGTGGATGGGAGCCACGTTTCATCAACGGAGCCGGCCCACACTCCTTTACAGGCAAACACGAGCACGCTGTAGTTGAGAATCAGTAGCACACAAGGCGGTGGTTGGAACGTAGTCCGCTCTACACTGAGTGCATGGAACCATCCTTCGAGCCTAATACGATCATAAGGACCGTGCACCCCGTCCCATCCAGCAACGACACACTGTCTCCTAGAGTCAGTATGGACGAGGTAGTGGGCAATAGACAGGTAGGCACCTTGTCACCATGCACATCAAGCGCAGCCACACCGGGGATGTCAGACAACAGCCAATCATTTGAAGTGACATTATCAAATAAAATATATCTGTTAAAAAATACCGCCATGCAGACATAACTCTTCTCTAAATTAGCATATGAAGTAGGTTGGTTAGCAATCAGTCCGCGATAAGTACAAAATATCCAAAAGTTACTCAAAAAAGGCTACAAACGCAATCAAGTAACGTAGATAACCACAATTAGCGTAAGCAACGTGGTCAGTTAATAGAAGATTAGTCAGAACAAACCAAATAAAATGGAACGAAATTTATCCAGCTTAAAAAGACCTAGTTGAAGTGTAAGTTGGTTTAGCCCAACTACGGTGAAGAAGCATCATGAATGCAACATCAGCCGCAGTATAAGGCATCGTGGTAAAAGGTAAAGTGCCAGCATATTGCTGAGGGAGACTAACTGGCCCGAGGAAAGCGCTATGCAATGTTAAAGATGAAGCCCATTTCCTATGAACCAAGCGGTGGATCGGTCACTAATGTGATAACGTTTATGTGTTTGGGTACTATTAAATGCATTGAGAAAGTAAGTTGTCAGAAGAAAGATTAAACGTCAGTGCGAACAACGCATAACGATCGGTAAATCAGCCTGATTCTCTTAGCGAAAAAAATGCCGATGTAAAATTACCCATATCGGATGACCTAGATTAGAGAAGGGATATCAGAATGAAATTTACAATTTGTAGAGCGTAGCTGGGATATACTCCTTGCAACCGCAGAGTGAGGTGGTAAAGTGGGAACCTTTAAATGGGACCATCATATTTTCAGTAACACCGAGTGATTAACTCGCATTGTAGTGAAATGCGCACGCCTGGGTGACGATTGCCAAGGTTTTTTATATTGTAGAGAGAGAGAAGGGGAAAGATCCGTCGGCTCCTTCATCGCCCATTCATTAGCTGCATGACACGTGTGCTTGCTAACCTGTATTCACCAAGGGATCAACACAACTGCAGCAAAAACAGTGGAATCCAGGCGTTCTTAGTATGTAGTAATCCAACCGGTGCCTGAAAGATTCCTCTGAATGGGCACTGATAACATATTCCGGGAGGTTATTCCACTTATTCACGACCCGGGTAGACAATGTGACGTCGAAACGGGCGTGGAGCCTCTGCGGTTTAAACAGTTTCCAACTGTTACTCCGTGTCGAGTTAGCTATATTGAGTTGGAAGTACTCTTGCACCTCCGTCCCCCAGTCTCCTTTGAGGATGCGCCTTGTGTATATCAGATCCGCACGGCGACGACGATCGTCTAAAGGGAACAAGTTCATTCGCTGAAGTCGAAGGGATAAGACAAATCACGTAGCACTGATACTGACTTAGATCCACGCCGCTGAACCTTCTCGATTAAAGCGCACTCAAATTTTGTGAGAGGATGCAAAGCAGGTAGTCTATATTCCAATATTGGACGAACGTGGGAAGAAAACAGGAACTTGAAGATCTCAGGCGTCATTTTTGAAAATGACCTCTGCATGGCGCAGAGTACCCTGTTTGCGGAGACGACTTTCCGCAACGTATCCGGGATGGTTTTCAAATTAGGGGATACAATCACACTCGTCCTTCTCAGAAGCCGCATTGTCCAGCAAGAAACCACCAATGTGATAGGTGCCGAAAGGTACTGGAGAACCGACAAGAAGAACACAGCATGCCCTGGTTGAGAGGTAACTGCCATTTCACAGACCAGTCGTGTAGCAAATCAAGCGTCAGTTGTAATTTGTCTGACTCTAAGCCTAGATACTTCCGACCATAGTTTGAGGTCATCAGCGTAAATCAAACAGTCAGTTTGAAGCACTTCTGGAAGATCGTCGACGAAGATTTTGTAAAGTTCGGGACCAAGGAAGGAGCCCTGTGGAACCCCACTGGTCATGAGGACAGGCCCAGAAAGAACCTCATTGACCTTCACCCTCATAGTACGACCAAGCAGGAAATCAGCGATCCAGGAGAACATTGTCAGCAATGCCAATCTTCCGGAGCTTGATGAGCCGTTCATGTGGAATCCTAGCAAATACTTTGCTGAAATCAACAGAAACATCTGGGCGATTACCGGAATCCACTGAATGCCCACTTCTCGCGGACAAGTAGGTTGGTGATATAAGAGCATGTCCTCCGGAAACCATGCTGAGTAGGAGTAATGATGTCCAGACCCTCGAGATGAAGTTGAAAGGTTCTTTTAAAAATCCTTTCCATTGTCTTACAAATGATCGACGTCAGGCAGGTCGGTCTGTAATTAGCAGGATTCTCTTGGTTTCCTCCTTTGTGGATTAACTTCACAATACCTACTTTCCAAGCAGGTGGAAGGCAGCCAGCCTCCAGGGAGTGCTGAAACAATTAACAGATTGGCTCGGCGACATATTCAGCGACTGCCTTCAGGAACAGGGGATGTAATTCATCAGGGCCTGGCGAAGAGTTCGGGTCCAACTCGAGAAGAATTCCCAGCACTGTTCGCGGTGATTTCTATGTGCTCCAATGGAGTGGGATGCGTGGGCACATAGTTATTGAATACCGGGGCTTCAGCCGAGTACAAAGAGGAATATTGCGAAGCAAGAAGACAGGTTTTCGCTTCATCGTCATGAAATATAGCTTCACCCTCACACAAATACAAGGCAATTACGCCACAACCCGCCCTAGTACTTCTTTAAAAGTACGAGAAGAGCTTTTTCGGGTCACTTAAGATTAATCAGCCAGGTGACGCTCATATTGTTTCCGCTTCCCGTATTTTTCAGTGTACATAAATTCCTGAGCCCTTTGTAATCATCATAGTCAGATTCCAATCGTGAGAGATGGAATCTGTCCTACAGTTTTCGTCTTCTAAGCAGTATATTCTCAGCTCTCTATCAATCCAAAAAGGACCTTTAGAGAAAGGTCTGTCAGAAACGGATGGTACAACTTCGTGGATAATAGAGAGCAATTTTAAGCGGAGGCTAAAAGAGGTATCGAGATCCAACTTCTTAAATGTACTTCAGTCCATAACACTTGTAGCCATTTGTAGGCGGGGTGAATCGGCGCGCCAGTAGTTCTGACGAGGTATGCCCGGTGTTGGAGGATGGGTCGTCTTGTGCAAAGAAAGGAAAGCACACAATGATTACTTGACCCAAGTAGCTGGAGAATTTAAATCAGGTACACCGGATGGTTGGGGCGTTTGGCACAGAATTAGCCGCGTAGGTGACGAGACATGTTGAGTTAGACGCACATCGAGAACAGTTTTCAGTAGAACAGTATCGAAGGATTCTGGGGCGAAATCACAGTGAAGTAAATTCCAGTTGACGCTGGGGGCATTGGAATCTCCGATTATTAAGCAATTTTCGCCCCTGCCATGCATTTCGATCGAGTCCAGCACTCGGGATCCGGAGACCATTGGGGGTCTGTAGACAACACAAACCATGAGCGAATTGTGTCCGTCGTGGACAAGACACCAAAGTATCTCCGAACCACCAACTGTATCACAAACAACCTCTACGGTATGAACGCTCAACTCGGACTTCCAAGAGTATGACGCCCTCTGCAGACCTCGTACAAAGACGATCAGCCCAAGAAAACTGATAACCAGGAAGGCGTATTTCAGAATCCGAAATATCCGGGGACAGCCACGTCTCAGTAAAAGCCATCAGGTCAGGATGACACTGTAAATTGTGGAATCTCATCCAACTTATTTCGTAAGCTTTGCATATTGGCGGACATCACACGCAATCCAAGCTTAGACCCTAAAACCAGCGTGCGACAAAGACTGGCCACCATGGAGCTTTCGGAGTCCTTTGAACTACACGAAGATCCACAATACGAAGATTAGCTACATCATTGGCCCGCCGGGTCCGCATTTCGTCAACGGCGTTCTTCATCCTCAGTCGGTCTTCCAGGCAGAGATCTCTCAAGACATGGAATGTTTCGCCCTTAAGGCGCGAAGTCCGCCTGAGGATGCGACGACATTCCTTTTCATGTTGACAAACGATTTCCAGGAGACGCATCTTGGAAGTGTCCTCTTACCTTCGGCCAAGGTGAAAGGCAGAGACAACGTTGATACCCCGTTCCCCTTCGTCAAAAAGTAAAAAAACCATCGGATTTAGGAAAACCTGGTCATCCACTATCCTCTTGGCCGGCGTTTCGTTGTAAAATTCGAGCGTTCACGATGATCAGACACTGTTCATGAGGAAATCTGCTTCCTTGCAAGTTATATTCATACATGAAACAAAATTTATTCTTACTTTCCTGCGATTTCAGGAGTCAGAACGATTAGGTGAGAGTCGGCGCCGGCACCTAAGCACGGTTTGTCAACTGACATATGAAGTGGGCCGCTGAAAATTAAGGCTTATTCCGACTGCAGTATGAGATCGCGGATTCCACAGAGACGACAAAGTAATATAAAAATAATGTTTCTGTGAGGAGTATGATAAAAACGCGAATATTTAATTGACCCATATTAATGCCTCATCTAATATCGACGAGCTAAATTTACACGGAAATTTGAGCACTTAAGTGCGCAGTGTTGCTTCTACAATACCAAACATGTGCGAGGGAACTGAACTAAAGCAAAGAACGAATGCAAGAATGAGTCAAAGAAAACTTCAGGGGAAATGAGAGACTAACCACCGCCTGTGAAGAGCTATCATCACTGTCCCAATCGTCATCCCAATCTATCTGGGGGTGCACGTCGAGTTCAGGGTAAGATTTAGGAGGAGGCGGGGGAGGTGCAGTAGGTTCCGGCAAATCAAAGGGCTCGACATAGGATGACGGTACAAGACCCTCTCGACCAAAATCATTTTTAGCGCTCCACCACCCATCGCCGACCGTCTGGTCGAGAACAGTTATTTCTTCACCCTGGGCAACACTGAGCTCGCCTTCTCCTTGAGCCGAAAAATCGTAAATTACCCTCGCCTGAAAGGTTCAGTTAAGAACTACTGACGTACTCTCATGAAGTGACCGGCTCATGGAACAAACAGGTCCCGATGTGGGATCGAGCACATAAGCAAAATCGGCGTGCAAAATGCGACTGCGAATAGCAGATATTTCAAGTTCAACTTCAAGAGGAACTGAAACGGTAAAATTATCCTGTGCTTAAGTTCATCACAGCCGGCTTCCAACTCAGCTAGTAGTCCACATGCCCGGAAAAGCACTAGATTAGCTAATTTGAAAGCTGGCTGTACTGTGAGTTCATAGTTCATAGAGTTCATAGAGTTGTAGAGAGCAGAAGGGAAGACCCGTGTCAGCTCCATCACCTCCCGTTCATTGGCTGGATGACCTGTCGATGCTAAACTGTGTTCCCCGAGGGATTGTTGCAGCTGCAGCAAAAAACAGCGGAATCCAGGCATGGTCAGCATGTACTTGTCCAATCGTTCTTTAAAACATTCCTCTGTCTGGGCACTTACCACACATTCAGGAAGATTCTTCTACTCCTTCACAACCCGTGTGGATAACGTGATATCGGACCGGATGTGGTTCCGCCGAGGTTTGAAAAGTTTCAAGCTGTGGCCCCGTGTTGAACAATCTGTGTTGAGCTGGAAAAACTGCAGCAACTCCTTCCCCAAATCGCCCCATAAAATGCGTCTCATCATCATCATCATCATCATCATCATCATCATCATCATCATCATCATCATCATCATCATCATACACGTTAGCTAGAGGTGGGGAACACCTCAGCTACTGTGCCGCATTAAAATGCGTCTAGTATAAATCAAGTCACCACGGCGACGGCGGTAGTCAAGAGTAAATAACTTCATGCATTGGAGACGAAGGGGATAAGGTAAAACACGTAGCACAGCCACAGACTTGGATCCGCGCCTCTGGACCTTCTCAATTAATCCACATTCAAATTTCGTGAGTGGGTGTCTGGCAAGTAGGCCGTAATCCAGTATTGGACGAACGTGGGAGGAAAACAGGAGCCTGAAGTTCTGCAGAGTCAATTTGTAAAATGACCTTCGTATGACACAGAGCATCCTGGTGGCAGATGCTACCTTCAGCAACGTGTCCTGCGTTGTTCTTAGGTCTGGAGAAATAAGTACACCCAAGTCCTTCTCACCAACCACATTCTTCAACAGAAAACCACCGATGTGGTAAGCACCGAATGGTTCCTGATCACCGACCGGGAGAACACAGCACTTATCACGATTGATAGGCATTTGCCACTTGACCGACCAATCGTGCAGCAGATCGAGCGTCAGCTGCAACCTGTCAGCATCTTCAAGCCTGGATACTTCCCACCAAAGTTTAAGATCATCAGCATAGATCAAGCAATCTATTTGGAGCACCTCCGGGAGATCGTTGATGAAGATTTTGAATAGTTCGGGACCAAGTACGGAGCCTTGTGTAACCCCACTGGTCATAAGAAGAGGAACAGAGTCGACTTCGTCAACTCGCACCTTCATACTACGGTTATCTAGGAAATCCGCGATCCACGCGAGCAACTTACCAGCGATGCCAATCTGCCGAAGTTTGCTAAGAAGTCGCTTGTGTGGAACCCTATCAAACGCCTTGATAAAATCCACAAAAACTACATCAAGTCGATGACCAGCATCCACTGACTGCGCCCATTTTTTTCGGGCAACAAGCAGATTGGTAATGCAAGAGCGTGCCCTTCGAAATCCGTGCTGAGCAGGAGAGATGACGTCCAATTTCTCAAGGGGAAGATGCAAGGCCTGTTTCAAAATCCTTTCCATGGTTTTACAGAGGATTGATGACAGGCAAATCGGTCGGTAGTTCTCTGGGTCTTGGCGATTCCCACCTTAGTACATGGGTTTCACGACATTTGCTTTCCATTTAGTTGGGAGACGACCTGCTTCAGTGAGCTACGAAATACTTGACAAATTGGTGAAGCAATGAACTCCGCCACCTCTTTGAGGAACACGGGATGCAAGCCATGGAGTTCAAGTCAAGAAGCAGTTCCAATACTCTATCAGCGGTAATTTCAACATGCTCTAATGGAGAGGGGTGATAAGAAGTGTCCTCAGCAGCTAATGGCGCCTCCGTCGTATACACAGAAGAGTATTGCGAAGCTAGTAGACAAGCTTTCGCCATGTCATCATGAAGCATGGTGTCCTCTTTGCTTGAATACAGTGCGGGTATACTGTTTCCAGCTTTGGTGCTTCGTTTTAAGTATGCGAAAAGCTTTTTCGGATTAACCACAGATGGCTCGGCCAGATGCTGCTCATATAATTCTCGCTTCTCGCGCTTTCTCAGGGTACATAAATTTCTAGCCTCTTTGTAATGCGCGTAATCTTTTGCCGTCTGAGAGAACTTGAACCGGCCCCAAAGTTTCCGCCTTCTCATCCTGAGCGATTTCATTTCCCGATCTATCCATGGGGGTCCTTTGGAGAGAAATTGTTTTGTGACCCTTGGAACAACTTGATCAATGATAAACCTCATCTTGGAGCACACAGGTCCCAAGCAGAATCGAGATCCAACTGATGAGGGATGTTTCAGTCCATGAGGCGGGCAGCCAATTTTAAGCGGAGGGGGTCAGCTCGCCAGAAGTTGCGGCGGTGCGCTCCTTGGACATTGATAGCTAACTGTCGTGTCCACAAAAGAGAGACTACACAGTGATAACTTTTGCCAAGAGGCTGAAGAATGGCTAGAGCGGAAACATCTGAAGAGCTAGGCGTGAGCACAAGGTCAAGGATGTGTGGCACATGGCCTGAAAAAAATGGGTAGGGGATAAAACGTGTTGCGTTAGATTGCATTCGAGGACTATTTCTACTAAACGTGTATCAAAAGAATCTAGAGATAAATTACAATGAAGTGCATCCCAGGCTACTGCCGGAGCATTAAAGTCACCCACAATCAAACAATCTTTGCCTCCCTCGTGCATCCTTATAGAGTCTATCAGGTGGGATCCTGACCCCAAAGGGGATCTGTAGATAACGCCCACTATGAGCGGTCGGAACCCATCGTGAACCATACTGCAAAGGATTGCGATCCTCCATCGAAATCACACATGGCTTCCACTGTGTGAACTTTAAGGTCAGACTTCCAGTAAAGTGCAACACCGCCCCCGGATCTCCCTCCTAGACGATCCGCACGGGATAGTTGATACCCTGGAATAAACACCTCCGAGTTCGAAATATCCGAGGATAGCCAAGTCTCCGTAAAAGCCATCAGATCGGGTTCTTGCTCCGAAGTCATGAGCAGTATCTCATCCAATTTGTTTTTCAAACTACGCACGTTCGCCGATATCACACGCAATCCACTCCTGATTCTCAGTGCACCGGGAGAACTATACTTGGTCTCCACCGAGTCCTCGGGATTCTTTTTACTACTCGAAAATCCACAATGTGAAGGTCGCTTTCACCAGCTGCTCGTCGGATACGTAGTTCATCAACGGCCTGCTTCATTTTAACTCGATCTTCTGGGGAGAGGTCTCTTAAAACACAAAACGTTTCTCCTTTCAACCGTGAGGTTCTCTGGAGGATACGGCGGCATTCCTCTTCATCCTGACAGACTACCTTTAGGGGGCGAACTTTCGAGGAGTCATGCTGCTTCCTGCCGAGGCGAAAAGCGGAAACGAAGTTTATGCCCTTTTCCCCAGCATCGAACAGTAACGAAACCATCCCCCTCAGAAACGTTTGGTCCTCCAAAATCCTTTCAGCCGAGGATTCCTTAATAGACTCAGGGGCATTTACGATGATCAGACATCGTTCCCTCTCGGGAAATCGGCCTTTTTCATTTTGGTGCGGCTTTTCAAAGTAAGGCTTTGCCTTGATCATATTCTCCAATTGACTCACTTTATCGATAACATGTTTTAATTGTGGCTGAGAAGAGTTTGAATTAGACTTAGATTTTGCAGCCTTCTTTGTCTTCAGCTTGTTTAGCGGAGTCTCTGGGATCATGGGTACCGGAGTTACGCTGCTACCCGCTACCACTGCATAAGTCCTCTCCTTGCGTTCTTTGAACTGCCGGACAATGGACGATGGTTCTGGGGATGAGGTTGAAAAAACAAGAGTTTGCTTCGGAGGGGATGTGTTGAGGACAGCAACAGAAGAAGGCAAAATAGGGAGCAGCGGTTCATCCTTTTACTTTTGCACAGAATGGAGGCATGAATGACATGGACGAATTGGAGGTAGACCATCGGAAACACGCCTGACACCCAGCCCAGTCCGACAAGAGTCACAAATAAAGATGACGACTGAGGAACTGGTCCTTTGCGGTGGATCGTATAGATCTGGACTGATGTTACAACATGCAATGTGAAGCCACCCTTCGCAGAAGGAACACTGAACGGCCTTCGAGCGAGAAGTGACAGCCTTACAACAATCCAAGCATTTTGTGGACATTGTATCCCGTATTCAGTAAATTCAGAAAGAATCCTCAAGACGGAAACGAAACGCAACGGTAACGCGGTTTGTTGGCGTACCACACTGATCGAGTTTTCTAGCTGGAATATTGTGAAAAACTGTGTTGGAATAAACACGTGAAGCGAAAGTTGGCTATTGTCAAATTTTCTCTGATCTAGTATACCTTGGATCGATTAAAGTGCTACGGGACATAGCGTCTCCTTGACGCGTACTGGTAATTTGTGCGGTTGTTCGCCATTTTAATCCCGCTTCACACCCTGTTTTACCGTTTTGTGGTCGTTTTACGGTTGTTCACGTGTTTTTAAATTCTGCTCAGTTTTCCACTTTAAACATGGTCGTCGCCATAGAAACCGAGGCGGATGAAATCTTTGGGCCCTCGGTTGTTGAGTCCGATGCAGTTTGCGGCAATTCTGCATGCTCGAGACCAGTAACGGATTCATCTGGTGGTATGCAGTGCGATGTTTGCTTCCGCTGGTATCACAAAAGTTGCACCGGCCTCCGAGCGAATCAGTACACTATGCTATCATCCAGTGAAAACCTGTTTAGATGTGCTGATTGCTGCACTCAGAAAGCGAAGTGCCCGGCTATCATCTACGCTAAATTTAAGACACTGGCATCCAGGTTCATAGTGGTTGAGAAGGCGTTAAGCGGGCTTGCCTCGCTCAACTCTAAAGTGTACTTGATTATGAATAACCTGAGTATTGCAAAT